TTCCCTAAGAAGCTCTAATTTTTTAACAGTATTTAAGACAACGTGGTTGAGCAAGGTTTGCACAAAGGCGGAAGGGGCCAGCTTGTTTAAACAGCTAATGTAGCTGCTCTCCAGCTTTGCTCTGACTGCATGCTCCGTTTACCAGTTTTCTTCCAAGAAGGCTGTAGAGCATAGAGTCTAATTTGGCTCTAATCTGTAAGCCAGATGTTCAGACAGTGTCAGTGTCTGAAATGTTTGAGGTATTTCCTGCAAACTTGACCTCTGCCTGGAGCTGGTCTCCACTATGAGGACAGGCCTTGGGTCTGAATGTCATACAGTTCTTCAGGGATTTTTAGGTCAGTGTGAGGTTGAGACAGTTGCCAGAAACCTTTCTCAAGGTCTCCAGCCTTTTAGAATTCAAGTCTAACAGGAGGGTGGGAGGAGACACAGGCTTGTGTAACTGGGCAAAGATGCTTTCAGACTCTGAGGGAATCCACCCGGGAGAGACTTTTGCATACCAGGTTTCTTAGGACACCAGCCCACAATGCCACCTACTTAATTTAGTGAGAGAGGGGGAAGAGAAGGGTTGTGTGCTGCCCACATGGACAGCAAGCTTAAGATCCCATCTGCAGGTTTCTGGAGCCCATGGATTCCATGTGACTGTTCCTTGCAGAAATGTCTTTTAAAATCTTTAAGCTCATACGTTTTATAAAACAAAGGTAACAATATACACAGATAGTGGCCTGTTGAAAGCTGGGCTTTGCCCACTTAGTAGAGCTATCTGTTCTTTTAGTAGTTGTCTTACCCCAAAAAAGAAACCATTTCTGGTGGTATGGCTGGAATAACCATCTGCACAATATGTCAGTGAACTGTGCAGCGAACTGCTGTCCATGCTTTGTCAGGGCCAGACCTTCCAATGCCTGTTAGATGACATTAGAGGTATGTCAGTAAAGTATTTGCAATCCAGATGCTTTCTCATTTCTTGTGTCTGGATTCCTTGTGTCCCTCAATTTGGAAATATTTTGCCTATAAGCATAGAAGTTGGCAGATTAAGCCAGAGCAGAGGTTCATCAAGCCTTGCTGACAATAACCTCTCCTCTAGAAAGGTTTTTTTTGATCAGGACTTGTTGCAGGCGATAACTTTAAGATAACCTGTCTCCAAGGGAGGCTTTCCTCCTGACACAGTTGTTTGTGGCCCCTTTAGCGTGTGGGTTCAGAGCTGTCCCCAAGCTCTGACATTCTCCAGTCTTACTCAGCATGTTCCGCTTTGCCTCTGGGACTGTTCCTCTGCATGAAGTGAACTGACTAAGTAAAGTGTGGGGCAGATGCAGACTTCGATCAAAAACCAAGCAGAACACAGGAGGTGAAATCTTTGCCTGATTTTTCCAATTTGAGAGTTTTTGTTACCGATTTCCTTGTGATCAAGATTTCACTCAGGGCTGGTGTGAGCAAAGCTGTTAATTTTCAAATAAGCTGTTGCTGATCTCTGGGCACTTTCTTTCTTGTGGCATTTTCTTCTCACACGAGAAGCTGTGTAAAATGTAGACTGTTCTGCTTGAAAAACAAACCTGTCTGTCAACAAACCACTAATAAGAGACTTGGTCTTTCTTTGTTACAGATCATGTGCAAGCCATTAGTAGATACTCTTGTCAAGTCTATCACAGCGGGAGCCAGGCAACATCAGCAGGTAAGAAGGAAAGCAAACAAACAAAGATGTATTAAATAGTTGGAGAAGTCACTTAGTCATGGCAGCTCAGATGATATATGCTTATTGCTGCCTTTAGGGCTGCCCAGTTTTGAGAAGTGGGCTCCCTGGGGGGAGAGCTTTTGCAAATACTGCCTTGCTGCTTCCAGGTATGTGACTGAAGTTGTGAAAGTAGCTTATATATTCGCAGTCACGGGGGTTCTTTGGTAGCATCCCCTTTAAAAACTGCCTGCAGCTTTCAGGGTTGAGGCATGATTGTTGTAGGAGTTGCTTTCAGTTGCTTATTCCTTGATGACTTTCTTTACTAAGATGTTCCTCTATTAATGCCGAGTGTTGTAATCCTTGCCTCCTAATGCTAACTCAAGGTTAGCTTCTTGAGTCTGTTCCATGCCTTGCCAGCTGTCCTGCATTTTCTAGGCCATGTGCTTCTGTGTCTAGTTGAAAACCACCTGTACCATAGATCCGATTTTTGATGGTTGATTGCATGTGCCTGACTAACACAAAATTAGCGGAGCCTTATCAATAAAACATTGCAGGGTGAGTGCACAGCTCACTGTTGCATGATCAGGGAATGAGGCCTGTCTGGATTTTCACTGCAGCACGCGCTGCAGTGGGGGTGCCTTCCACACAGTTAATAACCAAAACCCCTTTAGGCCAGTAGCACTGTGTCTCAAACTTTCCCACCCCCTAGCTGTAACATGCATCTGTCCCCTGCAGAAGTGCATCCTAGATCGACCTTTCTGTTTCATAAATAGCTGTTTTATTGTTTCTGATCATCGGAGGGAATGTGAAGGGCTAGGTATGTGTTTACAGTAAGGCTGCTTTACATTGTCAGTAATTGCATATCAGGCTCTTTTACCCAAGAAAAATACCCAACAAAAAAAGAGAGTGAATTAAGCCATTAGTAATTTCAGTGGATAGAAATAAGGATGTGTTACACAAATAACAAACAAATTAATTGTAAGGCACATACTTGATCCTACCCTCAAGAGACCGGAACAGCATCCCAAGCAGACAGCTTCATTATGTGGGTATCTCTGCTTCCCCACAGGGAATAGCATTGTCCTTCTTTCAGGGCTTCCACAGTTATCTGCTCAAGCTTTGTTTCCAGAGCCTGTTTATCTGTGGGTGGGAGGAGTAGGGGAGGACGTGGAGCGTGCTGTGTGTGGGAGACTGGATAGAGGACATGGATAGACTACCGTTTCAACAACGGCAACGTGGAGAGTAAGCTGTGTAAAGTCTGTGGAGTTTGGAGTTGCAGCATTACATTTTTTGTACACTGCTTTCTTTTCAGGATGTCCAATTTGCCAGGTTTTCAATTAAGTTTTCCACTGATTCTCAGTGCAAATGTGCTTTGGTGGTACCCTAGCAGGTAGGGGACAGGCTGGATGGGTGTATGTGGCAAAGCGATGTCTTGGGCAAAGCCGGGGGATAACTTCTCTGGAGTCTGCAGCTCCTGGCAGCCACTGTGGGGAGGTGTGAGGTGGAGAGGCTGGGGCTCAGCTACCGGAGGGGCTGTCCTAACAGGAGTCCTGATGACACCAAAGGTCTCCTGGTACCTCTCCAGGCTGGCCTAAGTCAGAGTAAGTGGGGTATTTGCTTCTAATAATTAAACTAGCTTAGTCCCAGAGACATGAGGATTAATTCCCCTTCTAACGCTGCTGTTATTAATGCTGGCTATGCCTGCTGCGTCTGTATGAACAGCTAATCCCACTGTGATTTTGACTTCTTGGCTCCGCACATCCCTTTGGCAGGGAGTCCTCAGGGCCGTGCTGCATGGAGAGAGCTGTGCTCTGTGTGGGAAGGCGGAGGCTCACAGCTCTGACAAGGTGGCTTGTGTTGGCCTGGTAATGAACCCTGGGCTCTGGCCCAGCAGGGCTGCTGGCCACTATCCCAGCTGGCCTGGGGGATGCCCTTCCGAAGGGGGTAGGAGAAGGGGATGCGCCTTCAGGTCGGGCTTTTAGGTAGTTTTGAACAAAAGGAGAAGTAGTTCATGAGGAGGATGTAAAGGGGGTGTTCCTTCCTCCTCACCCCGAATAAATGGGTGTTTGTGAGAGCAGCATGGAGATAGGGGTTCTGTTCCATCTCTCCTCTCAGCCAGACTGGTCCCTGAGTGGTTTTTTTTTTTAAAGCCTTTGAAGCAAGATCTTGTGGCCAGCAGCATACATGCCCAGCTCTTACTTCAGGAGTCTCTGCTCTTGCTGGGGCCTCTAGTGTAAAGTCAAACTCAACCACTAGCCTGCCTGAGGTGTTCTGCAGCATGTGTCCCTGTGTGCTCAGTAAGCCACAAGGAGTACAGCAGGGCCTGGACCTGCCTGGAGTCTTGTCAAGAAACAGCAAACTTGAACTGCATGGGAAATGTTGTTCCTGTGCCTTCTGTTGTGGGCTGCTGCAGGTCTGTCAAACTCAATTTCTGGGCAGTTGTAACTGAGAGAGGATCCTCTAGAAAATGCAGGAGCTGTTCAAATGCTGCTCAGCTGACATTGGCTTGGAGAGGAGCAGTCTGGCCTCTTCAGCCCCAGCCATTTGTCCTGACCCTGGGGACCTCGCTGTCTGTCTGGTGCCCAAGCGTTCATGCAATTAGGACGCAAAATGGACATGAGGATGATTTGGCTGAAAACTTCCCTTCTCCCTGCACACATATTTTTTTTTTTTCCCCTTTTGCTGTGTTTAAAATTGACTTTGATCAGTTCACTGGTCTTGTTCAGGGCATGGAGATGGTCAGTGCAGGTACAGGAGTGGCTGGGTGAAAGCTGCGATTTGTTTCATCAAACAGCAGTGTTTGTTGATATAAAATTACAGCTTCTGTGAAGTGAATATGAGAATATTGGAAAGCAGAGGTTGTCTGTGTGGACTGTTGGCTGTACCTGATGACTCCAGCAACTGGGTCTTGCATTGCTGCAGCCTTTTTGCATGTCCTATCTCCCCCAGTTGCTCACCTCTAAAACCCAGAGAACATCGAATGCTTGGCAGCAGTGTTGTGTCTGTAAAGACAGAAGAGTTTGTAGTTATTGGGTGGATGTTACATGCCATTCTGGGAGGTGCATTTCTTTGGCCTGTGTGATCGCTGTAGAGGAGGGTCTTCTGGACATATCCAAAGGCAGGTGTATCAGAGGGTACATCTTGATGTAAAGCTTAGCACAGATAAAGGAAGCTTTAGAACAAAAACGTGACTGACTTGTTAGCCCTTTTCCTCTGACACTGTTCCTCCTGTCTAAAGCAGCAGTAAGGTTGTTCACCTCCATACTGAAGTAATTTGTGAGATAAAACGAACAGCACTTTGGGGGGTGAGAGCTCTTAAGGCAGTTTTAAACTTGGCTCACAGTGGTTGAGCTGGTAGGTTTTCCTAGCAGTAAGCTCAACCTGTATAACAAGTTTTCAACCAGAATGGTGAATTTGCAATGGTCTGATTGAAACTGAAGCTTGTATATGTGGCCGAGTACTGTTCCTCTGATGTTACTCCTGGAGAGTGGATGCCTGCAGGAGACAGTAGTTCAGCATTTTCCCTGGAAAAGGAAAGAGCTGGAGAGATTGGTGTCATTTGTGAGTGGGGGAAGGAAGGGCAAGGGATGCTTCACCAGGGAAGGGGGGTTGTCATCCCACCCTGAATTCGCTTAGCACCCGTTTAAACCTATACATCAGAAAGATATAAGATGAAGATCTGTGTGACAGTGGATCTGCAAAATCACCTTGTTTCAGGCAGTTCATGCATCTGAGCTGGACTTCTCACCTCTTGTGAGACCACACTGGCTGCAGGACACTATGAGTCATATTCTGCCAGTGCAAATGCACTGTGCCTGGCAGCTGGTACTTTGAATGCTCACTGTTACCTGTTGGCTGGCCTATTTTTCCAACTCTGGATTTCTTGAATTTCTTGAAGTGTGGAGCTAAAGAAGAAAGACTGCTGTCCCAAAGGTGCCTGTGTGCAGGTTAAAATGCTTCAGGCTTTTAAAAACTAAGCACACTAACGTTTGGATGTCTTTTACTTACTGAACTGAGAAATCTGTTGGGTTTTGCTGTGGGTTTTGTTTTTTTTTTCCTACAGTAGCAATTAGGATCTTTTTTCCTAAACTCTTGTTGATCCTTGCTTTCCCATATGTATAAGTTAAACCAACATATAACTTAAAGCTGCAGTGTCTTCTCAGAATATGGCCAGCCTCATGTCCGTGATGTGTTCTTGCGCTGTTGTCTACTGTAGAAAGAAGTGGGTAGAAATTGTATGAAATCACTACATTGTAAGCAGCTACTATGAAGCTTTTCAAGAGGACCTTTAGTGTGTGAGAAGTGCTACAAGTTAAAGTAAAAAAGAAAGAAGGTGGTAAAGAATGAAGTTTTTTGGGTAGTCTAATCCAGCTTGTTGGATGCAGTTCTGAGGACTGAGGTCCTGAGAGTCAGTTACACTATGACCTTGTACTTGCTGTAATGGCCAGCAGAAATGTCTTCAGTGGTAGGAAAATGGGACCGGTGCACACATCACAAGCTTTTTGTACATGTAGGCAGTTTTGATAATTTTCTCTTACCAAGAAGGTGCTTACACCTGAGTAAAGTGTAGCTAACATCCCGTACCTGCATAGATGCATATGCTGTAAGTAGCTTAGGTAGGAATGACAGCTAGGGATGTAGTCTTCAGTGATAATGCTGGTATTGGAAAAGGACAAGTCATCAAAAATGGAGCTCGTGTTTTACCTTTGTGTTGACCTAGTGTTTAATGAATTGCATTAAGCTTCTGGCACAGATGATCCCATTGGCAGTGCGAAGCCTTGCAGTTAGCCAAGCAGAATGTGGGTGGTGCTAACAGCTGTGGGGGCTTGTGCTGTTTTGTTGACTAAGGATGTTGCTGTCAGTCTGGTGTCTTCCACAAGCGCTAAACACATTCTCTCAAATTCTGTTTAGAAAAAAAATGTACGTGAGCTTGTTCTCGCTTCCTCCTTTCTTAATGCAATTTGATCTTACTACTGCAATTGTTTTCCAGAAGACCTTGACCTTCACATTACTTCCTTGTGCCTTGTTTCAGTGGGTGCAGTGTTGATTTTTCGGTATGCACA